TCATTGATTTTGTCAAGGCCTTGGACTCGGTATCACATTCTAAACTATTGCACAAAATGTTTGTTATACTGAAGAATGCATCATTGGTTGGCTGAATATCCGGCTTTCTTTTGCAGTGTTCACAATATGTGTGCGTCCTTTCTACTTACTCGCCATTGATGCTGGTTTCGTCAGGAGTTTCTGGAGGTTGTGTGCTAGGACCCTCTTATTCCTGCTTTATGTTAATGACCTCCCCTTGCACACTTCAGTGAAAAAACCCCTTTTGCAGATGACTACATCCTGTATCATACTTTCAAATCTCAGCTGGAGATTCATAATTCATTTTCTCTTTTTTTGTAGCTGGTCCAAATCTTGGTAAATGAATATTGACTTCTTCAAGACAGTCATTCTGTCATTTACCATACGTTCATGCTTGTTGACTTTTGACAATGTTTTAACAATGTTAGTTTCTGTAGGGTGTCTGAATTTAAGTACCTTGGCATCTTTATGACACATAATTTATCATGGTCCAAACATATTGATCTCACATGCAACAAAGCCCTTAAGAGTTGAGGGTATTTACATGATAAGTTTCGTCTTGCTCTTCAGGAAACCAAACTGCTTACTTACGAAATTCTTATTCGCCCCATTCTCGAATACGGTAGTGTGGTTTGGAACCCTGATAAAAAAAGTGTGACATAACTAGAATGGGTTCAAAAAGAGCTGTATGCTTTATATATATGCAAGAGATATGGCAGGGATTTTTCTCCAATAAATTTCCTTCCTCAGCAAGGTCTCACTGTACTTGTGAAGTGTTACCATGTTGAACATATAAAATTTCTGCACAATTAAATCAAATATTTTTGCTTTGGCACTCTAAAATCTTATCTGAAATTCACCTACACTGACATGTTCAAATATAGCTTTTCCATTTCAAATTGAGAAGCCTGAATTTTGCTGCCACGAAGTGTTCGTTCTGCTCCATTTCTGGAAGCCTGCTCATGAATGTTGATTTGTTCTTGTTGTTGTTTTTTATTTTCCCACTCCTGCGGTAGCCTCATTGAGGCTGCTGTTGAGGAAAGGACAAGCCGCTGTCCCCATGGCAAAGTTGATCGTTTACCTTGTTATTCGAACCCTCTGATCTTCTCCTAATGATGATAGTGGCTCTCGTCGTCGTTTACACAATATTTAACAGGTGCAGTTATATAAATTCAATGATTTGTTCTCATTTATTGATTCAGTGACTGAAGTAAATATTATACATCTTGCATAAACATATAAAAAAAACTCGAACGTGATTTGAACTCATAGGAAATGGTGATGATAAGAATAAATAGAAAAAGTCAGACTAGTTTCATTGCAATGCTGGTCATCCCATCTGAAAATTAGCAAAACATTTCAAAAAGGCATCAAGGAAGTGCCAATTGCTGCGTAACTCAACAGATCATTATTGTAGTATACCTACTTCCACACAGACCGTGCCACCTGTCGAATTAACGACAAGACATGTGCATATGAACATACTTATGAAGTGCGCTGTGTCATGATTGGCTGAAAGTGGCCGTACCTTCCACAGCTCTACCAACAGCTTGTGAAATGGAGTATAGGCCTATATTCTCTCCACAGTTTGTGGGCAAGACTATTGCGTTAGCGACAAAGTTGTAGTGCTTCAGTTGTAATGTGCTTCATTCACAGAGACGAATTACATCGCCCGCTGGCTTCTCAGAACCATCACAGATAGGCATTTTGCGCATCAGTGGCGGATCCCCCGGCCAAGCTTCGGCCCAGCGGCTGGCAATTTCGCGCATCAGTGCCCCTAAACGCAAGACCAAGCTAACTGCACGCCGATTTTTTCATTGCCTTAGTTGGGCATAACTCACAATTAACAGATCACACATAGGGGCCCTTCGTTCCTATATCGGTACATGGATAGTTTCGGTGTGCCGTTCCCGTCTCGAAAGTATGCCAACCGGTGTTCGAAGTTGGACGTTTTTCAATTTGGGATGTTCATGGTAGAAAAGTCTGCTGTAAAGTAGTCCTGATCACCCGGCAAGCATCACATTTTAGTCAATTATATCCGAATGTCCTTTGTACCTGAATCCGTAGTGAATGAAGCTCAATCAATGGAACAAATAGGGTGGTCGGCATAACAGCACCCACTTCGTATGTAGCATCCGAAAGTCTGTTGTAAACAGCTCCATTGTAACAAGGTCATACTGTATTTCAAAAGATAACTAGATGAATGAAGCATGAAAAAAAAAGTAGGTTTTCTCAACAAACATGCCTTGGCACTACAGTAAAGCCTCGTTATAACGAAGTGGGATATACCGAAGTAATGAATATAATGAAACAATTGTAATTCCCCTTGAAATTTCATACATGCCTATGTATTAAAACCTCGTTTTAGCAAAGCGAAAATTTCCCCGCAATGGATATAACGAACCTATTTCTCGTCCACAATGAGCATTTACTGATCAGTTTGATATATGTCAATTTTCAATATCTTATAGCGCACGACGGTTTAAGTCTCATCAGGGTCGCGGTGATTCAAAACTCGCGCCTTGCGCTTACTGGGAGATGCTTGCCAACGCGTGTGTGAAAGCGAGTCTCTTTGCTTTTCTTCTCCTCTGGAACTAATGGACTCGCCCGCGCAGCAGCTCATGCGAGCGTGCGCATTAGCTGGCCTCCCCTCTCATGTAGAACTCGTTGACCCGCCCGCACATCTGAAGCTTCTTCCCTTCAGCTTCATGCTGAGGCCTCGCACACCTCTGGGGCGGCGCAGATTGCGGCCATTGTGGCTTTCTACTTTGTCGTTCGCTGTGGCAAAGCAACACCACCGCTGTCAGTTTCTGCCGCTAGACGCGAGATGGACAACAGCAGCGGCAAAAGTAAGCGCGAAAAGTATGAACAATCGAGCAGAAGTCGGCAATGTTGAAAGCTCTTCAGTCTGGCATCAAGAAAAAAAAAAGTGCCTGAAGATTTCGGCGATGTGAGGGTGCCGCGGGCGCCCAGGCCCAGAGTTGTGGAAGGCTTTCTTTGCCACCGGCGTTATGCTTGACTGCAACACTTTCTGCATGTACGTCGGTGCTTATGCTGCAGTAGTGACAACCGAAGAGTTGTCAGGTGCGGGAATTGGGCCTGGGTGACGGGCGTGCATGGACGACAGTGACGAATGCGTCAACACTCCGGAGCCTAATGTTGGTGAACCCGACGTACCACGCCCGCCCAAGCGCTGGATGCGACAGACCTGCTGTGCCGCTTCTTTGGTGCTTACGATGAAAGCAAAGACGGACTCAAAATAGCTGCTGCAGCTTAAAAAGTAGTCATCCGCGTGAGGATGAGTCGGCAAGAGTCTAAGGACTATTTTTCTTCAAAGTGATCTGCCAGCTGGTGTGCTGAATTTGGCGGAAATAAAGTGCACTGTTCTTTATTATTTTGCTAGTTTTATGCCTTCCGACGGCCGTTTTTCTCTCTGCGGAGGGCAGCTGTGATATTCTTTGGCGATATTGTGATATTCTCTTGCTGGCTAAATGTCAGTAGAAGTGAATATGGCTATAACGAATAGGCTTGTGCAAATATTCGAATGTTTCGAATATTCGAACGAATAGTTAAGTATTCGAATTCGTTTCGATTAGAATTTCAATTATTGATATTCTTGAAGTATTCGCAATGAACGAATAAATGTATAATAATTCGCAGGTCACCGTCTGTAAAGGTGGTTTTACTGCAATGTAGAAATGGTAAACAGTGACAACATCTACTTAAAGAACATTTGCTTTGTCGTGAAGCCTTCTTTCAAATTATAGGGGCCTTGCAAAAATAACTGAACATGGTCAGAAAATGCTGACGATTAGTAGTCGAGGCTACCGAAAACACTGCGAGGCAAATATTGCAGTGCAGTACATGGCCTGTAATTCACAATAAAATTTCAAAGCGAAAAACTGCTTTCTTTCCTCAGGAAGTGACACTGCAAGCTCAAAAATCACTTGTCACAGCCTAGAAGAAATATATGGCTCTGGTCACAGGCATTGGCTGATTTGAGCATGGTGCGCTTGTCGTTACCGGGGCCACCACTTGTCCACAAGTACGTGTGCGATCGGATCGCACTGAAAAGCCGCGTACTCGAAGAAAAAAAAAAAAAAAAGAGGTGCTCAAGGTCATGAGGTGCGTGTGGAGTATTTTTTTTCGCAGTGCCATTCCTCCCTGCTTAGCTTCCAGCTATTTCGTCAAGACGAGAAGACAGAATACAATTGCAGCGTGTGCCAATTTTTGGAACTCTGCTCATACTGGACTGATTCTAGAAACTTTGCTGCTGTAAATTTCTGAAACAACAAGCATGTTTACTGGCTCCATGGCTACCTGAAAAAGTGTCGCAGGGCCCCTTCAAAAGAACATGTTACCCTCAAATCAATTCTTCATTTTATTAAGCTTATTATGACAGCTTTTATAATACTAGTATAATAAATTTTGAAGCATTAAGTATCTCACAGGTTTTCACTTGCATCCCACCGAAACTACTACTCAAGGTTGTTTTGACTTCCTTTGAACAAAAAAATAAATGGCATTTGCATAAAGACCCTGTTTCAATTTAAAAGAAATATTGTGCAGGTTAGTTTTGTCATGATAAGTATTTCTTTTTTTTATATTTCATCATACCATTTGAATTCTATTCAAAATTATTCGATCGAAATCAGTATTCGCTTCGAACAAAAAATTCACTATTCGCGCAATTCCTAATAATGAACTAATGGTTATAACTAAAGTAATTACTACTCACCCTTTAACTTCGTTATAACAAGGTTTGACTGTATCAGCGAAGTTCTAGATTTTGGGGCAGTAATGGAAAGCTTATTATTTTATACACCACACATGTGGCAACTGGCAGTGATGTGGTCATTGCTGGCGTATTTTGGACAAAGGGTGTGCTTATTGGTGTGGCTTTATGTTTTAGCTTTCCTCGTACATAGTGGCTAGAATGTTTTTTGTCCTAGCTTGATGTCCTTAGAAAAATTCACATGCAGGTGAGCGAGCTGTCGCGCAAGAAGGCAGAAGCAGAGGTAGCGGCTGAGGGTGCTGAGCAGCGGCTGGCCCAGGCACATGAGGCTGCTGTGCAGCAGCTGCGACGTGAACTAGATGACCAGCGGGCCAAGAACAATGACCTTCGAACCAAGAACTGGGAAGCTGTTGAGGCCATGCGAGTAAGTGCATCATAGTACGTACATAGTACGTACATAGAAACTTGGTAAACCAATTGCTTATCTCTTGAAGATGGCGGTGCTCATGAATCGAAAATGAAATAGTGTACATTGAACTCAGAACAAGGCAACACTTTTGGATCTTTCAAGAGGGCCCGTATGAGGCAATGAATTTATCACCGCTCATCAATGTTTTCATCCTTCGATAAAAAGTCTTCTTTCCACGATGACTCGAAGGCGAAAGCTAGCCTATGAAGGCCTCTCAGTGCTTTTGAAAAAAAAAATTTTTTTGTTACATGAATGCTGAAAGGACGAAGTGAAGTTTCAGGTTGAACGTTCCTTTTTTTTTTTTCTGTTTCTTTAATTGTGCACTTGCAGCCAGGACAGTTTAGTCTCATCAAATATGGGAATGTCTGTGCAGGCAGCCGAGCGCAAGGCAGAGGCAAAAGAAGCAAGCTTGACCAAAAAGTTAGAGGAGCTCAAGGCCAGCCACACCAAGGAGATTGAGGTGAGTTGCTTTGCGATTATCCTAGTTCAATGCTCAGAAAAAAAAACTTGATAATGCAACACTGCCTCAATTGCTGCATGTCGGTGTAGGTAAAAGAATGCACTAATGAATGAATGCAAGAATCATTCTTGATCTGAAGAAAATTGATTGAATTTAGATGGAGCCAAGTTGAAGTGACTGTATGAAGCAGAAGTTCTACAGTTGTGATCGAATATTGCCACGGTAGTGACTGCAGCTGAGGATAGCACGGGGGAGGATCAAAGAAGAGAACGACGAGGGGTTTGAGTAACAAACCTGGGCAGATCAAAGGTCTTGTATGGTTTTGTTTGTGGCAAACTGGTGGAGATGCTGGGTACACGTCTATGTACTCAAAGCCCAGTAGTTGGAAGCTCTCAACACGGGTTCAACCTTATCGAAACCAGACAACCTATGCAAAAGCCGACGGCTTCAAGGACTGCCTCCGGAGCACTGCCCATGAGTTCTACTGACGATGCCGACCACAACCGCAAGTCAAACGGTAGAGACGTACGGTACGGGCAGGTGCCTTCATCGCTAGTATTTTACACACCGCGCTTGCCGCGGCCCTTCCTTGGTGACCCCTGTGAGGACATGGAGAACTGGCTCGATGACTTTGATCGGGTGGCCGAAGTCAACTGTTAGAGCGAAAGGAAGAAGCTAGGGTATGTGTATTTCCCTCTGTAGGACTCTGCCCGCATATAGTTCATTGAGGGGCCGTGCAACACTTCTTGAGCATGGTCAAAAAACGCTTGGCAGATTTGAACATGGTGCCCTCAGTTGTTACAGAGGTCGCCGCAAAAGACCCTGACTTGTCCACGCCTGAACGCGCGATCGCACTGAAAAAGCTTCTATTAGAAGAAAAAAGTGCTCAAGGTCACGAGGCACGAGATGTTTTCTGTTTGCCCTTCCCATCCCTCTCTGCTTAGCTTCCAGCGCTTTCGTCCGGACGAGAGAAGAGAGAATGCGATTGCAGCGTGTGACAAATCTTTGTAACTTCACTTGTACTGGACGAATCCCTCTCTGCTTAGCTTCCAGCGCTTTCGTCCGGACGAGAGAAGAGAGAATGCGATTGCAGCGTGTGACAAATCTTTGTAACTTCACTTGTACTGGACCAATCCCTCTCTGCTTAGCTTCCAGCGCTTTCGTCCGGACGAGAGAAGAGAGAATGTGATTGCAGCGTGTGACAAATCTTTGCAACTTCACTTGTACTGGACGAATTTTATCATTTTTGCGGCATGAATTTGCGAGGTAATACACTTTTCCAGTGAAGTGATTCCAAGGTTACTCAAAAAGGTGTTTCAGAGCCCTTTTAACCACGAGCCGTCGATCACTTCCTGACAGGAATTTCAACAGCATATATGCGAAACCTACAGTAGTCCCAAAAGAAAAGATTGAGCAGAGCAGGCCCATCATAGCAGATTTCAGTAGCCCAATGAAAGCGTAGCCATGCTCATGGAGGACATGTCGCGGCTTTTTAAGCGTGCTGACTCAAACATGTAGGGAGCGAAAATGGTACGTCTGCTGATGCACGGCGTAAAGGAGCAATTGTTTGCTGGACTGATGCGAAGTCCTTCTGCAACAAGAGCAAAGTTTCTTCGCGACGCGGCTTCTATGGAAGAAGCTCTTCAGCAAGGCTCCTCAGTCTACGACCGCCACCCAATTTTGGTGTCAGCATACACCCCAGCGTTGCCTTGCGACACTGATGCTCTTCGTGAACCTGTGTGTAGTGTCATGCGTGAGGAACTTGCTCGACTTCAAAAAACAGAATTTCAGCTACCCGTAACTTCCTTCACCGATATTGTTTGCGAAGAAATTCTCCAGGTGGCACAGCTGTTCGTGCCAGCAAAACCCATGGCCGCTCCCATCCTGACTTACGTGCAAGCACTGCGGCGACGTGCGCAGCTCATAACACACAGTTATCATCCGCCTTCTGAAGAAGCGCTGCAGCAGTTCCTGATTGCCAACTAAGCTGACACTCTTGCTGCCAGGGTGGCATGCACTACTGCCCACACACATTTCTCACGAAGCTGCCCATGATGGCCACTCCTCTCCTATTGCACACATGTGAGGCGATGGTGATCTAGGTCAATTGGGAAAGGGCTTTGCCTGTTTCTATTTCGAAACATTAGGCACATCAAGGGGTAAAAGTGTTTCAGTTTGGAATGAGCGGGATGATTTTTTTCGCTAGTCATGTGGTAGCATTAAAGAAGGCGCGGCTCAGAAATCGTAGTGCCAGCGTTGGCAGCATTGTTTGTAATTTGATCTGCAAGTGAAAATTGCTCATGAATGCAAAGAATGGAAATTGCGTTCACAGTTGAATTAGTGTGATTGCAGTCGTGCGTATTTCTTATTTAGTGAATACTGCTAACTTCTATGCAATGTCGTTGGCAGGGATGGGTTACATATATTTGCACATTTGGTATTAAGTTTTCCAATGCAAGAAAACAATAGATGTTCATAACAGAAATAGTGCATTGGGGAAAAAATGCACAAAAGCAATTTACCAACATTGAAAACATAAATCAGTGCAACACTTCCTTCTTTTTTTTTGTACACAATGAATGAGGCAGACTTGTGCATAGGCAAAAATTGGATGTATGCATTAAGGAACTAGGAAAGCAATGTCATAACCGATATGAATAGGAAAGTTGAGGTGGCGAAGGAATTCCACAGAAAATTGTACAGAAGCCGAAACAACCAGGATGATATCGTAAGAAGCAATAGCCCAGAGGAATTTGACATCCTATCAGTAATGATAGGGAAAGTAAAAAAGCCCTGGAAGGAATGCAAAGAGCCAGAGCCGCTGGTAAGGATAAGGCAACAACGAATCTCATGAAAGATGGCCGAGCAATTGTGTGAGAAAAATTATCCACCTTATATCCAAAGTGTCTCTTGATGGGAAAAGTACCTGAATCTTGGAAGAACGCCAATATAATCCTAATTCATAAGAAAGTGGAGTCAAGGATTCGAAAAATTACAAGCCGATCAGCTTACTCTCCGTTCTCTACAAACTTTTTACAAAAATGAATTGCTAATAGAATTGAAGGCGATATTAGAGTCAAGTCAACCAAAGGACCAAGCAGGATTTCGTATTGGCTACTGAACAATAGACCATATTAGTACTATTAATCAGGTAATGGAGAAACGCACTGAATACAAACAAACCCTAATCATAGCTTTCATAGATTACGAGAAGGCGTTTGACTCAGTCGAGACACCAGCAGTAGTGCAGGCACTATGGAATCGGGGCATCAAAGAACCCTACATAAACATACTGGAAGAAATCTACAGAGGATCCACAGCCGTCATAGCTCTCTATAAAAAAAGCGACAGAATCCCAATTAGGAAGGGTGTAAGGCAGGGAGACGTAATCTCTCCAATGCTGTTCATGGCATGTCTACAGGAGGTATTCAGGACCAGAATGGGGAGAGTTAGGCATAAGAGTTATTGGAGAGTGCCTTAGTAACCTGCAATTCGCTGATGACATTGCCTTCTTGCATAACTCAGGGGACAAATTTTCGCTCATGATTACCTAACTGCACACAGATAGCAGAAAAGTACAAAGGTCTGAAAATGATATGCACAGAACTAAAGTAATGTGCAACAGTCTTGGCATAAAACAGCACTTTGCGATAGGTCTAGAGACGCTGGAGGTTGTTAAGGAATATGTCTACTTAGGACAGGTAGTAACCGCAAAGCCAAACCATGCGAGTGAAATAACTAGGAAAAAATAAGGGTGGGGTGGATCACATTCGGCAAGCATTCTCATATCATGAATGATAATCTATCACTAACCCTCAAGAGGAAGCTATATAACAGCAGCACCTTACCGGTACTTACATACAGAGCAGAAACGTGGAGGCTTACAAACAGGGTTCACATTAAATTTAAGACGACGCAGCGAGCAATACAAAGGAAAATGATAGGTGTAACCTTGAGAGACAAGAAGAGAGCAGAGTGGGGTCAGGGAACTTACCGGGGTTAACGATATTATTGTTGAAATCAAGAAAAAGAAACGGACATGGGCCGGGCACGTACCACGTAGGCAGGATGACTGGTGGTAATTAAGGGTGACTGACTGGATTCCTAGAGAAGGCAAACACACGAAAAGGAGGAAGAGAGTTAGGTGGGCTGATGAGATTAAAAAGTATGTGGGTATAATGTGGCAACGGAAAGCACAAGACCCGGTTGATTGGTGGATCATGGGAGAGGCTTTTGCCCTGCAGTGGGCGTAGTCAGGCTGATGACGATGATGATGATGATGAGAAATCCGTAAACAGTGGTTGTGTCGAGCCGACGTTTTAACATCTGAACTTGTCTTCCGCAAAGCTAGGACAGCACTGATGCCCACAAAGGCTGTGTCGGTATTTGATAAATCAATTAAAACTTTCTTCTGTGTGTGTGTAGGCCTTTTGCAGAAAACTTTCTTGATTGTGTGTGCAGAGTCTGCAGCAGCGGTTGATAGACGAGCAGCGGAAGAAGGAACGGGAGCTTCTAGAACGCCTCCTGCCAGCCATCAAGGTCAGCAACATGCCTTGCATTGTCATTCCTAAAGCGAGTGGAAGTTCACACAAGTTTTGAAAGAATAAAGGCTTGGTTTGTTGAAATAAATGCAAGAACAGTGCATAAAATAAGGTTTAGGAAAGCATACACGTGTTTACTTGCAGCACTGCTGAAAAATATTCATTGTTTCTAAAGATTGGTAGATTCTGCCAATATGCAAATACACTATAAAAATTAACGTTGACGCCTCCCCGAAGCGCTGCCTCCCCGAGCATGGTCCCTCCTGCGTGCGCGATTATCAGACTCATAATTCAGGAGAGGACGAAGATCACTTCGTACGCTGCCATGGCCGCGTTTGTGAAGAGAACGCGCTGCTGTCAAACCACGCAGTGAGAATCGGGACAGTTGTTCGCCCTTGTCCTGTGTATACTTGTGCGCTTTGTGGGGTTGCTGATACCCTCTGTAAAGTTGTTTGTGCCGCATGGGGCACGTGTCTCGTGCAGAAGCTTCATTTCCGGGTCACAACTCTTGAGCGATAGGTGGCGTGTTCGCGAGCGTTGATCACCACTATCATCGTCATGGTTAGATGAGTAGCACCGGCGGTGACCCCTGGTGGCAAGCCTTGGTGGGTAAGGAGAGAGTTGAGCGAGGCTCTCTTTCGCTGGTGGCGTTTAGGCGCAAACGGTTGTTTCTCGCAGTGGGACCCCGGTGCATGGCACAGCGGGCTGTCTGCCGGGGGCCCTTATGGTGAATCAGGCGTTAGCGACACCGCCTCATTTGTCATGTAGCTGAGTGTATAATTATTGTGTAAGGATGTTTTAGCATGTTGATCCCAATTTATGTTTTAATAACTTGGCTGACGATATCGTCAGTTTTAAAAGTAGGTAAATAAATGTGCCTGTTGTTTTGGTTTGTTCCGACCGTGTCTACTGTGTCCGTCCACTCCGAGACCGTGGCACTCGTTCGCCATTTCAGTATCCCACAGCTCCTTTCGTACCTCTTTCTTTCTGTTTGAACAGCGCGCTTCAGTGTCGAGCTGTGGCAGTTGTTAGTCCGTACTCGTCCCGTGTATTTCAAATTCGTGCGTACATTCTGCTTGGGGTGTGCACTGCAAGTTTCGAGATGCTTGCCGTTCCTAACGTGACTTTGCAATTTGTTTCTGTTGATGAAACAATGCATAATAAACGTTCAACTACCTCTGTAAAGACAGATTTCACTTTCGTGTTATACAGATTTCTATATCGGAGGATCAGCCACATTTTTTCTTGGAAAGATGCCCCCGCAGGGGTGCCTGCGCAAGTAGGCGTTTGGTGTGTAGCGACACCACGGACCCGCGCTAACGGGGGAGTTTCGGCTCCCTCCCACGCCTAGCCGTGCGTGGCTTTGCCGTGTCCGGGGAAAAGGGGATCCTGAGGGTTACGCCAAAGCTGGGTGATTGGACCTTGAAGGCCCCCCGGCAGAGGCAACACACCTCTTTGGCCCCGGCTTCACGTAGACGGCACCCCTGGGCTGACCCACCCAGGGGAAATCGGCAGTCGCCTTTTCCTATCTCTCTCTTCCTACATCTTAGTCTTTTCTCGTCTTTAAATCTGTCCTGTCTTCTTCTCTCTTCCATTTACTTCCGATTTTTCATGGCGGCAAGGGTTAACCTTGTGTAATTACTCAACCTTGAGTAGTTATATTTGGTTATAGTGGCAATGTACGGCTGGCGTCTGCAGCCTTATGCTATTAAGTGCTTCAGCGTCCCCTGGTTGGACTCCATGGTGGGTGGTCGCCATTGCTGCCGAACAAAAGTACACTACTATGGGAACACCTGCATTTCCCCGTCTCCTAGATCGTCTCCCGCCTAAGAGGGGACGCACCGATGACATATCAATTTTCAGCCAACCCAGACAATGCTTTCCCAAATTCCATGTTGTGCACAGCGAAAACCCAACAAAACAAGCCAGCGCAATATCTCCATTTCTTGTTGCTAAATCCCTGACAGAGGTCTTTGGCCCAGGATACAAGGTTACAAAAATGGCTAGCGGAGACCTTTTCCTTGAGCTGCCTGAAAAACACCACTATGAAAAACTTGGCAGTCTCGTAGCATTTGGTAATATCCCAGTATCTATTTCAACTCATAGATCAATGAACACCTCACGCGGAGTTGTTTCAGAAGCAGACCTTCTTGAAATGTCTGAACAGGAACTGCTTGAAGGGTGGAAAGAGCAAAATGTCACAGATGTGAAACGAATCGTCATCAGACGAGACAACAAAGAAATACCTACCAAACATTTAATACTCACCTTCGCATCTAGCACACTGCCTTCATCTATAGACACAGGATACATCAAACTCTCTGTCCGTCCCTACATTCCCAATCCAAGACGGTGTTATAAATGTCAACGATTTGGTCATGGCTCGCAGAACAGCCGGGGTCAGGAAACTTGTGCAAGATGTGGTAGCCACGGCCACCCATGTGATAACTGTGTTACTACGCCTCACTGCGTGAATTGTGACGGGGAACACGCTGCGTATTCGCGTTCATGTCCTAACTGGAAGAAACAAAAAGAAATAATCACTCTTAAAGTCAAAGAAAACATCACATTCAAAGAAGCAAGACGAAGAGTGTCAGCCATTTTACGGCGCAACATATGCTGATGCGGCGCGTCAGGGGGCAACGCCGCACCAGCCCTCGCCACCCCTTCGGCCTGCGCAGAGCGAGCCGTCGGCTGTGGCACCTGCCCCCAAGGCGGCTGTAGCCCAGGCTACACCGCCTACTCCCAAACAGAGACCGGAGACTCTAGAGTCTTCGGGTCTCAAGGCCTCCCCTCACCAGGCGAGGTCCAAAATCCAAACTAACAGCCCGCACGTGCGGGCATCCAGTGCCTCCGAGGAGGCAATGGATACGTCGGCACCCTTGGTGCCTAAAGAGCGGCGTGGCTCCTTGGAGCGCGCCAAGAAAACAAAAAAGCAAATAACAGGGCCTGGTGACGGCCCTGTTAAGTGAACTCAAACTCCCCGTCTAAACAGCCACTCGCTTTTCGTACACACAGCATTATTTTACATTCACCATGAACACTCAAATTATACAATGGAACGTCAGGGGCCTTCTCAGAAACCTTGACGACATCCAAGAACTCCTACACGAACACTCACCAAAGTGCTGTGTGTACAAGAAACACACCTTAATTCAAAACACACAAATTTTCTTCGCAAATACGTTATTTTTCGAAAGGACCGTGATGATGCCATGACATCATCCGGAGGTCTTGCCATCATAGTGAATCAAGGAATTGCATGCACACACTTACAACTCCAAACATCCCTTGAGGCAGTGGCTGTTCGAGCGGTTCTTTTTGATAAACTAATCACAATCTGCACTATTTACATCCCTCCTAGCTATCAGCTGCAAAAACGTGATTTACACTGTTTAATTGATGAACTTCCGGAACCTTATGTTCTCCTTGGAGACTTTAATGCGCATAGCAGGCTATGGGGTGACTATCGGTATGACGGGCGAGGTCGACTGATCGAACAGTTCCTTCTCTCGTCGAGCGCGTGTCTCCTAAATCGAAAAGAACCAACCTATTATAATCTCGCCAATAACACCTACTCTTCCATAGACCTAAGCGTAGTATCTCCATCCCTTGTGTCTCTACTCCAGTGGAAAGTCGTCAGTAATCTGTACGGAAGTGACCACTTCCCCGTAGTTTTGAGCACAAATACAGTAACTGAGTGTCCACCACGTGTTCCCAAGTGGCTCATAAACAGAGTCGACTGGGAACAGTTTTGTACCATCGCTCATCTAGGTTGGAATGACATATGTACTTTGAACATTGATGTTGCTGTCAACTTCTTCACAGCGTTTTTGATAGATGCTGCAACAAAATGCATCCCACAAACAAATGGACAGCCTGGAAAACGGCGTGTGCCATGGTGGAACTCTGAATGCCGAAACGCGCGCAAACAGCAAAACAGAGCTTGGAGGCTGCTTCGGAACTCACCGACAGCCGAAAATCTTGACACCTTCAAGAAAATAAAGTCTCAAGCTAGGAGAACGCGTCGGCAGGCCAGAAGAGAAAGCTGGCAGAAGTTTTTGTCAGGGATCAATTCATACACACAAGAGGCCAAAGTCTGGAACATGGTCGGTAGGATAGCAGGGAAACAAGTACACACACTTCCACTCGTAAACACTCAAGGTGATACCTTGGAAGATCAGGCAAACTTCCTCGGGGCACATTTTGAACGAGTATCCAGCTCGTCCCACTATACTGACACTTTCCAAAAATACAGAACAAGATTAGAAAAGCAGAAACTCGAACACAAATCCACTAGATACAAGACATATAACCAAGCTTTCAGTCTAGCGGAGCTCCGAACATCTCTAAACTCCTGCAGTACTTCTGCCCCAGGTTCTGACCGTGTGATGTATGAAATGTTAAAAAATCTACTAAACGAAACCCGAAAAACCTTACTTTGTTTGTACAATGCTATTTGGTCTTCTGGCACAATTCCTACCTCCTGGAAAGAGGCTATTGTTATTCCCATTTTGAAAGAGGGCAAGGACCCTTCTTTACCCTCGAGTTATAGGCCTATAGCACTTACAAGCTGCTTGTGCAAAGTCTTGGAAAAAATGATAAACTGCCGACTTGTACATTTTCTTGAAGCAAATAATTTGCTCGACCCATTTCAGTGCGGGTTTCGAGAAAGTAGATCCACCACAGACCACCTAGTTCGTATCGAGGCACAGATCAGAGACGCGTTTGTCCATAAACAATATTTTCTCTCTGTGTTCCTCGATATCGAAAAGGCTTATGATACTACATGGCGTTACGGAATTCTAAGAGACCTGTCCCACCTTGGTGTGCGCGGAAGAATGTTTCATATAATCGAAAGTTACCTGTCAAACCGGACATTCCGTGTTCCGTCTGGGCAGTGTGCTCTCCCAAACATTTGTCCAGGAAACAGGCGTGCCACAAGGTGGTGTGCTTAGTTGCACACTTTTTATTATTAAAATGAATTCTTTGCACTTG